AGAAAAAGTAAAGTAAAGAAAGATTATAATAAAATAAAATTATTAAAAGATAGTGTATAACTGTTTTAACAGATTATATCTAATCAATTTCCATCTCTTTATATTCAGATATTTCTGAATTCTGTTATTTTCTTATAGCTGCTTGAGTTTCTGATAGAAAGTCTATTAAGTATTTAATTCCTGTCTCAGTTAAGAATAAGAATCTCATATTTAATTGATTTAAATCATACTTCTCTTTCAATTCAGCTCTGAGTCTATTGTATAATACACAATGCATTATAATATACTCAGAATTTTCATTTATATTGCAGAAGGAGCATTCTGTTGAATCAAATCTATTATTAAATCTTTGTTGTTATTATTATTATTATTCTTCAATTATAAATGTATGTAGTCAGAGACTATGATATCTATCTAAAAACTTTTAATTCTAAGAGTTTTTCTAATATCTATAAAGTTCACTATTATACATTTATCAATTACAGATATATAAATCAGAAAATCTCAGTTCAGAATATAAAAACTCTTTACAAATTGTAGTATTTTAGCACCTTCTGATACTTTGAAATCATTTAGAAATATCATGATCAAAGAAAAGAGAACAGAGTCTTAAAGAGAGACACATTAAATAAGTAGATAGAAAAGAACAGAAAAGAAAAGAAAGAAAAAAGTACAGTAAAGAGAGAGTATAATAAAATAAAAATATTAAAAGATAGTATATAGCTGTTTTAACAAATTATATCTGATTAATTTTCACCTCTTCATATTCAGATATTTTTAAATTCAGTTATTTTCTTGTATCTGCTTAAGTTTCTGACAGAAAGTATATTAAGTATCTAATTTCTGTCTCAGTCGAGAATAAGAAGCTTACATTTAATTAATTTAAATTATACTTCTCTTTCAATCTGACTCTGAGACTATTATATAGTGCACAATATATTATAATATACTTAGAATTTTCATTTGTATTACAGAATGAGCATTCTATTGAATCAAATCTATTATCAAATCTTTGTATATAAGATTTGAAATAATCATGTTCTAGTTTCAGCTGAATTATAGATGAGAATATTTTCTTTTTATATTTAATTAAACAAGATTTTCACTTTGATTTTATCTCAAATCTTGAATAATGTATACTCTTCTTTTATTTCTGCCAGCTTTTATTTCACTTATTTAAATAAGATTCTTTTGTCTTTCTCTTTATAAAAGATCAGAACACTGTTTTTTGAATAAATCTGCTTAATTCTAAACTCTTTTTTACTGCTGAATCAGTCAATTCATTGCTATGAATATTTATATAAGTGAAAACTCAGTGCAGATAAATTATCAGTTTTAATATTATTCTCTTTTGAATTTTTATAACAGAATTTACAATCAGTTCAAGATTTATTTGATTATTATAAATCTGACTATTTTTAAGTCTTTTCAAAGTAGGTTGACTATCTGTCACGCTCCCGGCCGCGCCAAGGCCCCGTTGCGGTTTCACACGGCTCATTACTTTCATGTGGATGATTTCATCTCATCTGAACCAGTTTTCAATCACTCTATGACATCATTCAGATATATCACAGAAAGATCTGATTGATGAATATAAGAATCTTACTTCTATACAAGATAAGTAGATTACTCTTTCTTAACAGTGAGATACTGCTGAGATATTACTCTGACTGTTCTCACTCATAAAATAAGAGAAGAGTATTCACTTATTGTCTATATAGAATAGCTAGATACTGACTTCTTATCAAAAAAGTCAGTAATTTATTTTTCTTCTACTGAAATATATATAAGAGTTACTGTATTTCTTATACAATCTTCTTAGTATACTAAGTATTATATCTGTGATATTCTCACAATAGCTCTGTAGTCTATAAGCTCACTATTTAAGTAAGATAGTTAAGTTTACTTATACAGCTTCTTAATAACTATCTCTATATAATATCACTGACTAGCTGCAGAGAACTGACACTGAAGATTATAAGCTTCTTATATTATATCTTACTATTATTGAGTTAATAAAGAATAAAATAATCTACAATCTTTCAATCTGACTACTTTTAAAATTTATTAATAAGTTACAGAAGAGAAATGTCTCTACTGCAGCTTAAATTCAGAAGTTAAAGAAGAAAGAATCTGATTTAAACTTGAAAGAGACAGACTCTGAGTGAGACAGTGCTGCTAAGAAATCAAGTCACTGATAACTAGAAGAATATGAACTTCTACTACTGAATAATTCAGTCTTTGTCTCTCATAGTAGAGTGATGTGTCAGAAGTTATTAAGAATTTATCATGATAATTCTCATGTGAGACACTTTGAGTTAGAGAAGACTGAGAAGCTTTTAAAATATAAATATATTTAAGACAAGCTCTGAGCAGATGTCAAAGAGTATATTAAGACTTATAATATCTATTAAAGAATAAAGATTCTGCAGTATAAGTAATACAGTAAGTTAATATCACTATCTATCTCAAA